CAGAACCCATCATAGATATATCTCGTTATGGTTCTTATACGAAACTTCTTCGTGTGACTGCCTGGATACTACGTTTTGTATACAACTGTAAGACTCAGCAACGCATAACTCATGAACTGAATTGTAATGAAATAGAGAAATCTAAAAACTATTGGATACAAACTGCATAGAATCAATGTTTCTCAGCTGAAATAAATGCCTTAATAGCTAAACTTCCCCTGCCGAAAAAATCCAAAATTTCCTGTTTCAATCCCTTTCTCGAAGATAATTATTTGCGCCTTGGGGGGAGGCTGCAATTTTCAAACATTTCTTCTGACACTCGACACCCTTTATTGCTCGATGGTAAACACTATTTTGTCCACCTTTTGAAAGCGAAATACGGAAAACAAATCGAAGCTCCTTTACCTCCTGAAAGAGTTGTACCTTCTGCTCCATTTACTACCACAGGAATTGATTTTGCTGAACCTGTGAATATTCGATGTTTGAAATCAAGAGACACAGCCTACATAACACTATTTACTTGTGCAACAACACGTGCATTACACATTGAACTTGTGTCGGATCTTACCACAGACAAATTTCCTTTGGCACTACAACGTTTTGTTAGCCGCAGAGGACTCCCACACACAATCTATACCGACAATGCTACCACTTTTCAGGCAGCGAATAAGGACTTGATTCTGCTATGGCAAGTTCTGTCATCAGCTAAAACTCAGCAATATTATGCCCAAAATGGCATAACTTGGAAATTTATCGCCCCACGAGCGGCTTGGTGTGGAGGCTGGTGGGAGCGCCTAATAGGAGTTGTCAAGCAATGTCTACGAAAGGTGCTCGGACGAGCACTTCTTGACGAGGAAGGTCTGTCCACGGCCCTCATTGGAATAGAAGCCGCTCTGAACAGCCGACCTTTGGTATACGAAGATGGAAAAGATGACAGTTCCACAGCCTTAACACAAGCCATTTCTTGACAGGACATTTCTTGACATTCCATCCAGCCCAAATAACAACACATAGCTAAGAAAAATCTACAAGCAGCAGCA